CCCTCCCCCTTGCACCTGTTCCAGATCACCCTAACCTGGCAGGGACCGCTGGGCTCTGTTTGATCAGCGATCGGAGTGTCCATGGGGGAAAAAAAAGCAGAACTGCAACGAGCGACGCCCTGGGAGATAAAGAGGACAGAGCCCAGACCACGGGCTTTCACATCGCAAGGAGACAGGAGCTCTTCGAAACCGTCCCGGATTTGTTCCTCAGAAGGAGAGCAGTAAGTGGATCGCTTGCGTTTCTTCCCGGGTGCCGAGTCTGATGATGGGGGAAAGGCTTGATCACAGCTCCAGAGACAGGGTGTAAACTTCTATCAGTAACTGCAGTGCCACCCAAACACGTGGCGCGTACAGTAGGCGGTGGTACTGCTGACGCACATTCCTGAGAGATCCAGAGAAAGAACGGTGATATGCAGGTAACTAATTGATCTAATTGATCAGAAATAATCCCACTTTCTGTCTCTCTGCTTCCCTCTTTCCCTCTGTCTCTCTCTCTCTGTCCCTTTGTCTCTGTATCTCTCTCTGTATCTCTCTTTGTCCCTCTGTCCCTCTGTCTGTCTTCTCTGTCTCTCTGTCCTTCTATCCCTCCGTCTCTCTCTCTCTGTCTCTCTGTCTTTCTCTTTGCTCCTCTGTCTCTCTCCCTGTGTTCTTCTGTCTCTCTCTGTCTCTCTGTCCCTCTGTATCTCTCTCTCTCTGTCCCTCTCTGTGTTCTTCTGTCCCTCTGTTCCTTTGTCTTTCTCCCTCTGCGCCTCTGTCCTTCTGTCCAGAGCCATGAGGCTGCGCTGTGTCCCCTTCGTCCTGCGCCGAAGGTCGGGCTCCATCTTCGAGCTCCTGGTCTGCCTCTCCTTGGCCCTGCACCTCCTCCTCGCCCTGTACTCCCTCTCCTTCCTGCATGACACCTGTCCCCGGCCTCCTCTTGCTCATCCCGGGGGCTCCGTGAGGAAGACAGTCCGCTCCGCTCTGCTGGGCAGCGGCCAGCCCTCAGACACTGCCACACCCAGCATGGCCGCCAGCAAGGCACCCCCCCACCCAGCCCGGGACGGGGGGCCCACTGCCTCGCTCAACATGGCTGCAGAGATGAGCCAAGAGGGCTCACCCAAGATGGCCGCCAGCCCGGTCCGCTCCAAGCTGCAGGCCTTGTTCCAGCATCCTCTGTACACCCTGCCGGAGCCAGAGGTCGGAGAGGACGATTGGCTACTGCAAGTGAGGTCAAAGGTCGGAGACAGCAACGAAGACAGCAACAGAATCACCGAGGAGTGGTGAGGATGCACAGCGCGCTGCCCAGCTCAGGGTGTGGGCTGTGACCCTATCCCGTGTGATGACCGGGGAGTGTCCAGACTGACCGGTGTCCTGTCTGTGTCCCAGGGTCAGCGATGATGTGGGCTACGACGCCGCCCAGTGGAACGGCAGTGCCCAGACTCACCCTCCCTGGCTGCGTTTCCACCTGGGCATCACGCGCTGGGCGCTGTATCGCCGTGACGACCCCGTGCTGGCGCCGCTGACCCAGCAGCTGGCCGGACAGCGCATCATCAGCGCAGGTGCGGGCCGCCGCGCTCCCGCTGCTGGGCGGTGCGAGGCGCTCCGGGACCCGGCACCCCTCGGGGGGCCCGCGGCTCGTTAGCCCTCTCGGCGCCAGCGTGTCTTCGGCCAGGCGTGTGGGGCTCAGGTCACGCCGAGCACACGCGCCGCTGCGGTCCCACGATAAAACCTGGGATGGACT